TCTGTAATGGAATACATTTTAAAAGTAACCTTCCCAACACTGCTCATCACATCTAATCAGCGGTAGAGTAAATGCTGTCTGAGTCAAATCAACTGTCTTCCTTTTTTTGTTCATCTTTTTCTTCTTGAGTTTTCACTTCCAGGAGGATATCGCCCATTCATTTTTGTTAAATAGATTTATAGTTTATTGTCTTCCTTCCCTCAACCAGTCACAACAGATGGCCGCCACTCCCTGAGCCTGGTTCCACCAGAGGTTTCTTCCTGTTAGAAAAAAAGAGTTTTTTCTTCCCACTGTCGCCAAAGCGCTTGCTCATAAGGGGTCATATGCAAAGGTCTCGCACTCCAGGCCTCAAGGGCCGGTGTCCTGCAGGTTTTAGATATCACTCTGGGTTGACACACCTGAATCAAATGATTAGTTCATGCCTCTGGAGAAATTCAAGACATGTGGAGGTAATTTATCCATTTAAATCAGCTGTGTTAGATGAAGGACATATCAGGAAGAAAATATAGAAAGAACAGATGCTCCTTTTGGATTAAAACTTTTTCTGAAAACATGAAAAACACATTTTACTAAACTGTTCATACCTTAATTTTCTTAACATCCAACATTTTGCTGTGTGATGTGGAACATGAGGGTAAATACTCACTTCCTCTAATACAGTTTAGGCCCTTTTTAAATCTGTCTCTCACATCTGACCAAAAATATTGGAAGTAAAAGAGTAATAATAAAAAAGTAGCAAAATTATCATTAATTATGACATGTAAGACAACATGGATAACATGTAAGGTGTTTTACAGTATAATTTCAACATAGAACAGAATATTTATTTTTCAATTCAGTGTTTGTTTATTCATAACTTAAATTATGATGTAAAATGAGTAACAGAAGCAAGACTATAATATGCATATATTTCAATCCTCAAACCAAAGTTGTTACAGTTATGACGCTATATGTCATCTGAAGTAACCTAATCCATACTTAGTATTTTGAAACTGCAAAACTAGTATTTACTAACATAAACTGAGGTGAATTGCCAGAGTGGTTTTCTGAGTGTCGCCTAAAAATATTTAAATACAAACAGCCCCATCTAGGGAGCACATGTGCTCAGTACAACTATTAACTTGCACAAAGCCGTACAAATAGGTTTGTTTCTTTATAACGTATAATACCTCTGTATTGGTGAGCAATTCATTTTTCCAAGAAGTCTTGTGGATGACTGCACCAATAAGGTTATACAGAGTAAAATTAATACTGGACAGAAATTTGTTCATTTTAGAGGTGCAGCCCTCAACAACAGTCCAAATTTCTCATGTGGCCCCTTAAAAAAAATTAAGCCTAAAGTTGTTTATCAGTGGTTTATGTAATGTAAATATTTTCAAACTACAGTTGTTTACACCAACAAGATGGGAGATTAATTGATCGTGTCTTTATTTTTTATAGATTATTAGGTAATAGTTTTTGTTGTTGTTGTTGTTTGGCCCAACCCTGCTTGAGTTTAGATTGGGAGACATGTGGCCATAAAATAAAATTAATCTTAACAGGCCTTCATTTCAAAAAGTAAACATTCTTTACTGATTGAATAATTACTTAGAAACCTGCAGACATATGAGTAAAAAAGAATGTGCAGGGGCAGTTGTAGACACGATAATTGGTGCCCGATATCAGTCACCTCTTAGTTCAGTGCCTCCCACTCCCCACCAGTTTTAACCAGTTAAATAGATACACAGTCTCATATAAAACCATGTGAACTGTTAGCAGAGGTTAGTCTCTTCTGGGAAGTTGGCTGCTAACAATACATAGTGATTTCATTTCAGGCTAACATATTATTTGGGACACAATGATATGCCTAGAGTTATATTACTGGAGCTTGCTGGAGGCAACTCTGTACAGTCCACAGCCACCATGATGATTCACAGATAATGTGGGAAGGTTTGGATCTTGGGCTGTTACTTCATGCTTCCACATTGTCATCACTAAGCTCATTAGTCACTTATTGCCTAAATAAGATAAGCTAGGTTTAATTCTTGCTGTCACACTAATATCAGAGCCATGACTATGGTGGTTTAAATAATGTGATTCAAATGGTTTTCCTAATAATGCCATGTTATATTCAAACAGTAACTGAGAACCAACTTTTCTGAGTTGTTTTAGGCAATTTTCACTTTAAAATATGTGTAACGGCCTGATGAAACGAATAGGAAATAAAAAGTGTCTGAATCATTATGAGCTAGCCCACATATTGGTAAACGTACATGGATGCTGATTTTCTGGTAGCAGCAGAATCCTTTATCATATCCTCTGTGGATACAGGACTGTTGTATGCAGTGGATCTGGAAAAGGTATACAGAATAGAATAGAATAGAATAGAATAGAATAGAATAGAATAGAATAGCTCTTTATTTTCACTGTTACAAGAACAATGAAAGGCAGTTTGGCATCTCTCCATGTGTGTGAAATACACAATAGCTTAAGTATTTAAACAATAACACAAACAAATGTACATTTACACAAGAAAGATATGTGCAAGTTATACACACACATGTGTACATATGGATACACCCATTCTTCTATACAGTATTCTTCACTAAGATTTATGTACATCTACTTCTACTAAAAATGAGATCTACTAGGTCGAATATTCTGACTGGCTTGGCCATCAAAGAATATCTCATTTCTTTGCTATGGGAGAAACACTTGGGCTGCTTTAGTAGTATGGATTGGGTCATATCCATTTACAATGTGAAGTGCTGTCTGACACTGTACACTACTTCTATCAACAATTTGCTTGAAGTCACGAGTTGTTCTATTTCTTCCCCACACCTTTCTCTTCCATCAGTCTGGTGCAAGTTTTTCTTGGTTTCAACTGACTTAGAGTTCAGTCTTTGCAGTGCAATCCCCAGTGAAAAAATAAAAACAAAACAATTAGTCACAATTAAGATGGTGCAGGGATTAAAAAAATAAAAAAATAAACAAACAGTCCACCTCAGGTTTGGGTAAGGTTCTTAAGAAAATCAAATGAAATTAAAATATTCAAATACTTTTTTACGTACGGTAATGAGGCTGTTATATCATACACCGGGTTATCTGTAACAACACAGACAGTGGCAAGACAGACTGAATTTTAACTGTAGTGCACAGTAAAAGTGAAAGCTGCATTCAAGGCAACAAAAAAGTGTTTTTTCAACAGAGCGCAAAGAGAGGCAGTAGGTTTGTGGTGGTCAGATGGAATGCAGATACTCACACATAGCTGAGCACAGAGTTGCATATCCTCCACCCACGCATCTGCAAACACACTCACACATTGCCAGTGGTGTTCATGCATCTTATGTGAAACCTATAACCTAGACTGCCATTTGTGCTGTGGTCCTCGTGTTCATCTCTGGTGATTCCTGCTGTTGTATCTTATCAACAATGTCATGGTTTACTGGCTTTGCAGTGGTGCTGTTGATGACTTTTTCGCTGTTGTTTGCTCAGGAGACAGGTTAGTAAACAGTTTTTAATTTTTTTCTCTATATTTTATTTTCTTGTTAATGGATGGTGTCATCGCCAGAAAATCTATCTCAATAAAACCATACACGATACGTCATTTCTAATTATACTCATAGATTAAGCCAAGAAAATCATCTAAATATAAAAATATGTATGTAGAAATATCCGTGACAGTATAACCTTGTTACAATCAAATGTGTGTTAATAACAGCTTGTAGTCTGACCATTAACCGTACTTGAAAGTGAGGCTTAAAGGTTTTGGGACTAATAGAAAATGTTACAGTATGTGAAATATTTATTCTAATCTTTTCACTGACTTAATACCAAAGAAGCATCACTCATAAACATAAAGCCTGAGTGTATCACTGCTTACAACATAATATTGACATTCAGTATTTGACATCATCGATACATTTATACTAACCTTTTGTTTTTACACTGGATTTAAAAAGTGACCAGAACAAAGTGAGGAGTAACACCCCCCAAAAAACTCTATGTGTCAATATGATATAATAGGCATTAAGGGGTTACAGAATGCAATGCACAGGTCAAATCTCCTTTTTTCACGTAATTAAAAGCAGTATCTTATCCATCAACCTCTTTTGACTAAGTTGACTTTAGTATACACAACTTAGCAGTGTCTCCAGCCCAGTAAACCGAGACTCCAGCGTATAGCGGCTGACTGAATTTGGTTTGGACTTTGTGAAGGAGGATCATTTCTTTAGAAATGCCGTAGAATGACAGCGTACCGGCCCTGTGATCCAGGAACACCCCAATTTTGGGCATCTGAGAGCCT